AAAAAATGATCAAAGTGGATATATAAAAAGACTTTGAAACTTACTCTTGAACTTTGCTGTTGTTATTAAGTGCCATTGAGTCAATTCCAACTTATAATAATTCTGAATAGGGTTTCTGAGGAGTGGCTTGTGGGTTTGTACTGCCAACTCCATGGTTAGCAGTCCAGTGCTTATTCTACAAATTATCCTAAGGAGTCTTAAACATAGGTGGTTGTTGTTGTTATGTGCTGTGGAGTCAGTTCCGACTCATAGTGACCCTGCACAGGGTTTCTGAGGCTGCAAATCTTTACGGAAGCAGAAAGGCTCATCTTTCTCCTGTGAAGCAGCTGGTAGTTTCGAACTGCTGACCTTGAGGTTCATAGCCCGATTTGGGTTAGCTAAAGTGAAAAGAAGAAATGATAAAAGAGTTTAATAGAAAAATTCAAACAGCAGCTCAAGATAAGATAAAATATTAAAACATATTGTGCAAAGACCTGACATTAGAAAACAAAAAAGGAAGAATACACTCAGCATTTCTCAAGCTAAAAAACTTGATGAAAAAATTTAAGCCTCAAGTTGAAATAGTGAAAGATTCTGGTGTGCAAAATATTGACCAATGCAGTAACATCCAAAGGAAATGAATATACTGAGTAGCTGTACCAAAAAGAATTGGTAATTGGTAGATGCTCAATAATACTAAGAGTTAGAATATGATCAGGAACAAAGGGTACTGAAAAAAGAAGTCCAAGCTTCACTAAAGGTACTGGCAGAAACAAGGATCCAGGAATTTATGGAATACAGATAGAAGTGTTTCAACAGCCTGACTCAAGGCTGGAGGCATTTGTTTATACCAAGAAATTTGCAAGACAGCTACATGGTCACAAACTGAGAGAAATCCATATTTGTGTTTATCCAAGGAAGATGACCCTACAGAATGTGGAAATTATCCAGTAATATCATCAATATCATACACAAGTCAAATTGTGCTGAAGATATTTCAAAAATAGTTTCAACAGTGCATTGATAGGAAGCTACCAGAAATTCTAGCAGGATTCAGAAGAGGATGTCAGATGTGGGATATAATGTCTGGCATCAGCTAGATTTTTTCTGAAAGCTGAGAATACCAGAAAGATTGCTACTTGTGTTTATTAACTATGCAAAGACAGTCTATTGTGTGGATCATAATAAATTATAGATAACATTGTCAACAATAGGAACCCCAGATACCTTAATTGTATGCTTGTGGAAACTTGCATAGACTAAGAGGCAGTCTTTCAAATGAACAAGGGGATACCACATGGTTTTGATAAAGACAGGTATGTAAATGGGTTGTATCTTTTCACCAGACTTATTGCGTCTGTAAACAGAAATTCAGAAATCTGGACTATCTGAAGAATAACACGACATCAGGATTGGAGAAAGACTGACTAACAACCT